GCTTAGGATAGCCAGTCTGAGGCCAACCTGAGTTATACAGGTCAACTCTATGTCAAGCAAAGAATCAGCCAGGCATGTCGACGCAGAACCTTTAATCCCAGAATTTCGGAGGCAAGGAAGAGGAAGAAGTGGAGCCAGAGTCAGGTGGATCTCTGTGGGTTTAAGAGCAATCTGTTCTACACAGCAAGTTCTCAAGCCAGCCAGGGTTATACAGTCAAACTCTGTCTCAAATAAATTATTAAAATGGTAAAGCTTTAAAAGAAAAATTTAAACTAGAAAAAGAAACAAACCCTAGATTTATCATATAATCCTTATTTAACTAAACAATTAAGATAAGAAAGTTGAATTCTAACCTCAGCTTCATTTATTCAAGATGACTAGCAGAAGAATTAGGCTTAAAAGTGCAGTTGTCATTTTTACTTAGTACTTTCCCAATGCAGCTACATCTAAGTACTTATTCAACAGATGCTCAGAAGGCAGAAGGATAATTTTTTTTATTGCAGGATAACCCTAGAGACTTGTCAGTTACATTTAACATCCCAAATAGTAAGCATCAAAGGAAACTGGCTTCATCCTTACCCTATCTACAACCAGAGAAACTAATGATCACTATTTCTAAACACAAAGCAAAGCTGACTTTAAACATTTCTAAGTTCCTTACACACCAATCATCAGCAAGTAATAATCCCTCTATATGTGAGATACTATGTATCTGACAACTGTGTTCTGTAACTCTTACAGTATTACTGTATATTATTACCATCATTGGTATAAATCATCAGCTTTTGGGTTACTTTGTTCTAGTCCTCTTCATTTCAACTCTTAAGCCCTCTTAATTCTTCAAACAACACACGTAGGATAATAACTTATACAACAGCATTTCACCATTTGCTTAAACCACAATTGGCTCGAACATACATATAATTATGAAGCAAGCTTCAAGGCCTGGCATGGTGGCTTCTGACTCTTCTCTCCAACTTCATCTTGTCCTGTTCCCAGCAACTACGAACTCTTAGACTTCTCCACTCACAGCAGATTGTCAGTATCTTTACTTGAGGAATGGATAAAGGATGTCTTGCTGCCTATTAGAACGAAGTCTCACTGGAATCTCGCCATAAGCATTTGCTACATATGGTTATCTGCTGCTTTGTGCTTTATGAGTTTACTAAAGAGTATGACAGAGACTGACTCAGAAAAACAAGACATTTAGCATTCTCTCTGCTGAGAATCCTCTCCTTTTGAGGGCATGCTCATTCTTTAAGTCCCAATTTAAACATCACCACTTCCTCGAATAAGCCTAACTTGATTCATACAGCTATTCTCATTATTCTTCCTCTATCATGCTTTTATTGTATTTTTTTTAACTAAGCATGCTTATTGCATGAGTGGAGATCAGACATGTTCTCTTTACCAATATATTCCTTACACACAACTCAGAGTCTGGCAAATAAATACCTGGTTTGTTGAATTCTGTCATGTCAAACTATAAGGAAACTTCTGAGGCACTCACAAACTGGTGTATAAAACTTAACTACAGAAAGCATCAATACTTTTTCAGGCACGCTTTCAAATTTATTTTCTTTAGAAAAGACGGGCGAGAACAAACGTGTGAGAAACTAAAGTTTTCACCCTTACTAAAATAGAACAGTATTTTTCTTATGGGAAGGCACATATATTCTGCTATGTTCTCAAACATTTCACTAATATTTTTGAGTCTCAGTTTCCTAGGAGGAAATATTCTAGAGACAATACACTATCAGCAGTAGATGAGAGATAGCACCTGGATTTTTTGGAATTTCTTCGATTTTGAAAACTTGTTTCCTGAATTAATAATCAGCCACTTTCATCCTGTACTTTCCCTACAACGGGCTCTAACAAATGAGTTTAAACAAATGTCAAAGGCTCACTATTTTCTTTTTTTTTAAAGTTGTTAGCTTTAATTAAAATATACTTACATCGTTTCTGCCCTATCTTTTCTCTTTCTTACCTCACCCATGCCAACCTCCCTCTCCTAAATTCGTGGTCTCCTCTTCTTATTTATTTATTTATTTATTTATTGAAGATTTCTGTCTCTTCCCCACCGCCGCCTCCCCTTTCCCTCCCCCTCCCCCAATCAATCCCCCTCCCTCGTCAGCCCAAAGAGCAATCAGGGTTCCCTGCCCTGTGGGAAGTCCAAGGACCACCCACCTCCATCCAGGTCTAGTTAGAAGGCTCACTATTTTCATCTCCAAATCAAGGTACTAAAAACTGTATCAAAAAACAATACTGACTCCATATAAAGATTTAATTTTCTTTACATTCTTCAATCTGAAAAGATAGGCCTTAGTTACTTATATACAACGATACAAAAAGCTTATTTTACTGATATGCTATGCAGATAGTTCAGGTAACTATAGGCAACAAAAAATGAAATGCAATGCAATAATAGGTAATACTGGTTTCTATGCAGAATATAATGGTATACTATACCATGTTTAGCATTGCTGAAAAACATTCACTGAACTAGCTAATATTTCCTAAACTCAGAGACAAACATTTTGAGCTACTCTATATACTGATCTCCCTATCAATTAACAGTTCTCTCTTGGTAGTTGCTCATTTGTATAGTAACACTATTTGCAGCTATTTTATTTTTTACCTAAGAATAACAATGACTATGAATAGAAAAACAAAAATGAAAAGAAAGCAAAGATACTAGCTAGCAGAGGCTCAAAACCTAATTCATTTGACATACAGAACAACAGATGTGCAGTCAGTGGACTTCCTCATTAGAAACAGCTGGTTAAGAATGGGGTAATGGGAGGAACAGGTAACATTTCAGATTCTGGAGACATTAAAGATGATATACAAAAAGAAAATCAGAAGAGTGTATATGCTTTAAAGTTTTAAATTTACAATTTAGAATAACCAACATGAATGCATGCCCTTAAGAACAAACTGAGGGTAGAGCCCTCATGAACATGATTCATAGTCTCTCTGCCAAGTAAAGATACATCAAGGAAGAAGTTATGTGCAAACCAGGCAAACAGTCCTCTCCAGGAAACAAATCTATGGATATCTTAGTCTTGGACTATATGACATCCAGAGCTGCGAAAAGTTGTTGTTTAAGCCATCTGCGCCATGATATTTGTGATGGCAGTCCAAGCTGAGACAAGTTATGGGACCACCGTAAGCCGAAAATGTCTTAACATTTCTCATGGCAGGAATATTCTAATGGCTTCGTTATATACTCAATCACGGTTCAGGTTCCAAAAATTATTCATTTAAACAGTGACCTCACACTCCTCTTTACTTTTTGCATGAAACAATTCTCATCAACACATGATTGCAGTTTTTCTGAGTCTGTGCCCAAGTTACAAATAATAGTAAAGCTTAAAATAACAGTAATGCTACAAATTACACTTTTTAACCAACTCCTACTAAATAAAACCCATTGTCAATTCTTTAGTATAGTCTTCACAAGGACCATGTCAAGTATCTTTTCTCATTTAGCCCTGCCCACTAGGACTGGGTCTAATGTACAGTAAATGGGAGGGGAGGGGACGACAAAGGTTGTGATCATTCCTGTCATTACTCCCTGACAAATGTGAACAAAACTTTAATTTAGTTATCCATCATTCTTGATCCCACATCTAAGAACTCAAGTATTCCAATTCTTCACCCTTCAGTACCTTTAAGCAAAACACCCATCTTTTCTCTTCCTTTCCATATCTAACTCTTGAATTAATCTTCCTTATTTCTGACAACTATCAGTTTCCTCCTCAACATTCATCCCTTGACTCTTGTCACTTCATTCTCTGAAACCTGAAACCCAATGCGTAGTTCTCAATACATACTACCACATACCCAATCTCCAGGACTAGTTCTAAATTTTCAAGTGTATCTACAAACATGTACTTTTATTTGAGGAAATTATGGTTCACATGTAAAATGACCTCTAAGGTATTTTCCAACAATAAAAACTGTCACTGTAACGCAATAAAACTCACCCCCTCCTTTATGTGCTGCTAATCACTTTCTAGACTGCATCACGGTACTCCCGTGAGATGCACCACAATCTGAGAAAACTAATTTTGCCTACCTTATTTCCACAACTCTGACATCATTCACTCTTTTCTAGTCTACCCTTTTTCTCAAATTTTTCAAGATTTTTTTGACTGTAGTAAACACCTGCCCAATTCTACATTTCATCTCATTCTTCTTAGTAATCTCCAAATATTGTTATACTGTCACCCACTTGTACCTTTTAAACCCTTCCACTATTAAATTTAAATTCTTCAGTGAGGCAATAAAACTTTCTTAATCTTTTCCTATGCTCTGTTATATAATAATTCATTAATCCCATAATTATTATGCTCCTCCGTTAACATCCCTTTGGCTGTAAGGGTAACCAGTTGTTCTTTTTTAATACCATATACTATTTGCTATACTGGAGTGTCTCCCACAGTGTTTGGCTATATCCCTCAATCTTTTTTAAAAAACCGATTTAATATCCTCCTTTCTCATGAAATCTTATAGCTCAGGTTAACGTTTCCTTCACAAAGTCCCTAAGCTATTATCACCTATGCAACTCATTTGCTATTTAATGTATGGGGTTTCATTCTATTACTAAAAGTGCACCACCTCTCATTAAAAGTAAAAACAACCCAGAAAAGCAACAGTATAGACTATCTGTGTATCTACTGCAGTTTTTCGCTGAAAAGAAAGGACAGGTATTTAACAAAAATCTGACTGCATGATGAATATAATGCTTTTAATGACCTGAAATACTAAACTACCTAGCTCATGTAATCTCTCCACCCCACCTTCCAGAGAAAGAAATTCTAGAAGACTGATATGAAGGGAAAGCTTTTTTGCAACCCTACAATGATGACTCATCAAAGAACCATCAATGAACACTGAAACCACCACACAGAAGTTTCTACAAGAATAGGACATTCATATAGTATCAAATTATCACTGAACAGTTTACTTAGGAATTACAAAGGGAAAAATGGTACCTTTACAATGAAGAAATCTGGCGGACACCAAGTGATCAAAGTTAACATCACCAATAATGGGATAAACTGACAGCATGTGCCTCCTGATGTGATGCACTGAGGACACAACATCACTTATGTATTATTCCTGCCAAAAATGCACAACCTGAAACTAGTCATGAGGAAACAATCAGACAAACCAAAAACTGAGGGACAATCTATAAATCAACTGACCTATAACCTTCAAAATTGCCAAAGGGCAGGCAGACGAAAGTCTGAGGAACTAAGTAAGTGATCCTGGATCAGATCATGGATCAGAAAAAGATTACTATAGACGACATCGCTGCTACATAGGACAACCAGTAAAATCTGAATATGGATGGTAGCATGGAACTACACTAATGTTACACTGTCAGGTTTTCTTCATACCTCTTTGGTTATGTAAGAGAACTTCCTTATTCACAGGAGAAATGTTACTAAATAATTTAGAGTAAACAAAATGTAAACCTTATTCTCCTAATTGTTCAGTAACAATTACAATAAATAAAAAGTAGTAATAGAACGACTTGCAAAAAAATGTGGCAAAACACAGGTTAGAAATATGAGTTCATTTTACTACTCACAAAACATTTCTGGCTCCCCCCCCAAAAAAATTTAAATGTATCATATAAAAATCTGTAATATGTCACATTGTATTTGACAATCTTAAAGCAAGACACTGTAGTAAGGATATCTCATAAATGAAATTAGTTTTTTTGTACTCTGTTCAATGAAAACATTATATGTTAACCACTAATTTATCTTTAAAGATTTCACATTTACCATAAAACTTTGCTAAAATGAGTAAATGTCTTAGAGACTATTTTTCAGTAATATAGTTTTCTTATTTTCAAATATACAGAAGAGAAAGCTGAAAAGGCTAGTTGAAATACCTATAATTAACATTTAATAACCATTTGTAATTCATTCATGTTTTTTCAATAATTATGATTATATATTCATCACAGACCACAAACTTCCTCTCTTCTTCCTCTTTATTATAAATTGTGATTTAGCCATTATAGGTTTTCAGTAAGGTTTTACAATAGTGACATGTAAGCATAGGCTTCCTGTAGCCTTGAAAAGAATGTTCTGGTCAAAATAAAAGAGGGTGTAAGTATTCTCTACAGTTTAGCAACAGTCCTTTAAATTGGGTACCTTATTTATGAGATGTTCAGTAACAACTTCTCTTAGTCCAGTGTAGAGCTTTTCTCCATGCTTATGCAAAACCATTGTATACGCATTTCTATAGAGCTCCTCAAAACTAAGACCACTGTTATTCTTACGCTGGATTTCTTGAATAGCATTTTTCAGAAGGTCCCAAATGCTGTTTACATATTTTTCATCCATGGTCATCTGCAATATTGAAAAGAGAGAAGAAAAAAAAAGTTGAGAATATTTCTGGATTTGTTCGTACTTAAATATTTTGACTATGACTTATAGACATTAACAACTATTGTATTTTAGCAAAATAAGATACAGCTGATGTTGCTTGAGCTAATAGAAACATTCTTATTCACTCCTTTATAATCTTCTCCTCTATTCCTAAGTATACCAGAGCACTCTATTTTAAAATCACGATTTCTGTATCCACAAGTCACTTAAACCTTTTTTGCTCACTGTATTTGCAACACTGTATTTGCTCACTGTATTTCCAACAGCCCCTTAAGAAAATGTTCAACACCCTTAGTCATCAGAGAAATACAAATCAAAACAACTCTGAGATTCTATCTTACACCTGTAAGAATGATCAAGATCAAAAACACTAATGACAACTTATGCAGGAGAGTTTGTGGGGAAAAGGGAACACTTCTGCATTGCTGGTGGGAATGCAAGCTGGTACAACAACCCCTCTAGAAGTCAGTGTGGCGATTTCTCAGAAAATTAGAAAACAACCTTCCTCAAGACCCAGTAATACCACTTTTGGGTATATATCCAAAGAAAGCTCAATCGTGCCACAAGGACATGTGCTCAACTATGTTCATAGCAGCTTTGTTTGTCATAGCCAGAACCTGGAAACAACCTAAATGCCCCTCGACCGAAGAATGGATAAGGAAAATGTGGTACATTTACACAATGGAGTACTACACAGCAGAAAAAAATAACGACAACTTGAATTTTGCAGAAAAATGGATGGAGCTAGAAAACATTGTTTTGAGTGAGGTAACCCAGACACAGAAAGACAATTATCACATGTACTCACTCATAGGTGGTTTTAAAACATAAAGCAAAGAAAGCCAGCCTACAAACCACAATCCCAGAGAACTTAGACAACAATGAGGACACTAAGAGACTTACATAGATCTAATCTACATGGGAAGTAGAAAGTAGAGAAAGACAAGATCTCCTGAGTAAATTGGGGGCACAGGGACCTTGAGGGAGGGTTGAAGGGGAAAGAGGAGAGGAAGGGAGGGAGGCATAGAAAAATGTAGCGCTCAATAAATATCAATAAAAAAGAAAATAAAAAATTCCAACAGCCAACCCATTCCTTCACATGAACCCATGAAGTTAAAACTAGTAACACATTATTTATATTTGACCTGCTTAAATTCATATCAACTAACTCGAAGTGTAATTTTCCTACAACCCTATAAATCCAATTTTCTAGTCTACTGATTATACTTTTCTTGATAATTTTTCCACCATATCCTCGCTCAAATGCTACCTGTTACAATGAAAACAGAAACAACTGGGAGGCACTATACAAACTGACCATACCCACCAACATTTTCGGTTCTATGCCAATATAATCCGTTAATTCTTAAAAGTACAGTGCAGAAACCAGAAGTAAACATTACAAATGCAGGATATCAGACCCGAATCCAGATCTATTGAAACAACCTGCATTTTAACAGGAAGTCTAAGCAAAATGCATCCAGAATGAAGTTTTTTTTATGCCAGTCATCTCCTAAAGTATCTCTTTTTTGATAAACACCTTTCTCACCATCATTGATTTTCCCTCTCTACTAAACCATCCCTATTTACATCCAAAATTATCAGTTTTCTACCTTAAAAACATATCCTTGTAACACTTGTTTCCATTTTTAATGAAGTAAATAGCAAGGGATTGGAATGGTCCTTTATATTCAGTATCTCCAAGTCCCATTTACCCACTATTTCTTTAATTTACAACAATATAACTTTCAGTCCTACTATTTCACTAGAATTGTCAAAAAGTCACCAGTGACTTCTACATTCATAAATCTAAAGATCAAAGTTCAGATCTCATTTTACTAGACTTATTCAGCAGTATTTTGAAAGAGCTCACCAATTATACTATTTAAAACAAAATTTCACTTACCTTCAAAGCACTATAGCCACTTACTTTTCTTCCCATTTCACCAGTTTCTACTTGTTTGCTTCTGGTTCTTACCACCACCTCCAATCCAAGACTCATGTTCTAGAGATCTCACCTATTTCTAGGTCACTCTTGAATTTCCTATATCTTATCTGGCCCTGTCTCTCTTGCACAGTAATGGTTTCAGCTGCCCATTCAATGTTCCTACTGAGCATCTCAAACTCCTCAAGATTCAAAGACAAGTCCTAATCTTTTCCCCCACATTCCACTTGCCCTGCAGTATTTTCCAACTTCTTTCTTCCTGGTGCTAAGGGCAAAATCATCGTCTTTGGCTATTCCCCTCACTTCAATTCCAAACCAAAATCCAAATCTTGTTCTCTATCTTCAAAACACAGAGAGCACAATCCCTTCACAGTATTTCCATTAATATAATCATAGTTCTAACAGCTACTTAATAATTCTTGGCCGGCCTCCAGAAAGTAATCTCCTGAAGACATGAATCAAATCATGTCACTTATCTGTTCACAACCCTTAAATGACTCTTCATTTCCCCTGGAGTTCAAGTCAGAAGCTTGTAAGGTTCTCCCACAGAGCCTCATTTGATCTCACTCATCTCCCAACTTCATCTTTTCTCCCTTGTTCACTCTGCTCTGTGCACACCTACTTCCCAACTGTTCTCTGGAATACATAAACTTTGTTTTAGCTTTTGTGTTTCTTACTCTCTGTCTGTTTTTCTCTCAGACATATCTGAATGTCTCAAACCTGCTAGCTACCAATGAACAGTTAAGTGCCTATCCTCTTTACAACAGAAGCCTCCATTCATTACTGACCCCCTCCCATCTACTCCTATTATTTTTCTTTTTCATGTTAGCTTCATGAAGGCAGAAAAATTTTAATAGCCCCTAAATAAACTTGGTATATAACAGGTATTTGTAGTTGCTGACTAAGTGATCCTTCTGCTAACCCCGACCAAGGAACCTCTTTTGTATTACTTTGTATTACTTAGGTCTACTCAGCTCAGTATTTACCATCTGGGAAACACTAGTCAGTCAACAGCCCTAACTGGGTTAGAATTACTGAGTTAGTGGAATTTTTTCCAAGTCATTATTTATACATAAAAGTGTGAAAAAAGGAGTCTAGAAACTAATTATTTCACTTAACCTAACTGAGTCAAAAGGATCCTTAAACAGATGACTCAAGCTCAGTCTAACAATTTGGGATAAGCTTCAAAATGTAAAATGCTAATATAATACTTCCATCCATCCATCAAATCCTCCTCACATCCGAGGTCTACTAGAGACGTTAAGAGAATCTACTTCTATGCCTAAACTGCTAATTTTTATCAGATATCCTGACAGACAAAATGGCATGTCTAAAAAATGTAAAGGTGTGGTTATATATAACTTTTTACATCCAAAATAATAATAATAATAATAATAATAATAATAATAATGTACATACAAATCAACACAGAAAATAACAGCCGCAAACTCACTTGCAATTAGGTTTTAGTCTATTGATACCTATCAATACTGTAGTAAACCAAAACCATCTCATAGCATTAAAAAAACAAATATACAAAGCAGGATATAAAGAAAAATTTCAGTGAAAGGAAAAAAATGAACTTATTAACTCTAGAAATACTTCTATCACAAAATATGTGTAAAGGATCCCCTCAGGCTCCTTATTATCTAATATAAGCTAGACAACGCACAAGGACAGATCTATACAGCACAACTTACGAAAGAAGCTTCTAAGATTACCTAAAATTCTCACACTATTATTATAAACTACTTTTAAAATTTATGTATTTGGCTAGGCAGTAGTGGCGCACGCCTTGAATCCCAGCACTCAGGGGCCAGAGGCAGGAAGATCTCTGTGAATTCAAGGCCAGCCTTGCCTACAGAGCAAGTTTTAGGACAGGCTCCAAAGCTACAACATAGAAACCCTGTCTCGAAACTCAACCTCAAAATTAAATATATATGTATATTTTATGATACAATAAATATATTTATTATATTTTAAATAAGTATTTTTATTTATAATTAATTTATACATTTTTATATTTATGTTATTTATAATTTATATTTATGGTTAAAATAATAAATTATATATATGGTGTTTTTCAATATTCTAAGTAGAATTTTCTATGTCATGCCTTGTAAGTAGAGCAATGGTTAGGGTCAGAGGACAAACATGCTACTTCTGGTGATTAGTACAGTAGTATCATCATCAACTAAGCAACACTAAGCACAAAGAAATTACATAGTGTATCACAAAGCACCAAATACTACAATATTCAAACCACTGGACTCACTTCACATTTCACATGTAGAATGTATCAGACTGATTATCTCGAGAAACACAATCACAATATGCTACACTAGTAAAGAACGTAAGTTTTGATGGGGAGGGCTTGATTCTACCATGGCTTTCTCACTGTCAAACCACAGGACCTTAAACAAATCATTTAACTCTTGATTTTCTCATTTCAAAAATAGGTCTAATAACATGACTTATCTCAAAGACTGTCTGTCACAAAGAGTAAATGAGAATGTCAGTAAATTTAGCATGATTCATCCTTAGGCACAGTATAAGCCCACAGTATATAAGTATAAACACAGAACAAGAGTGTTTGCAGATAGAATCTCTTCAAGTCTCATGTGTTCTGCAAACAAAATTCAGAAAGTTTTCAAACTCTGCATATAAACAGGTAAGAGCTAAGACTGAAGGTCATAACTATGAAAAATGGCTATCAGTGTTAAGCAAATTTACTTCAAAGCATTATTTCTCTGTATGTTTGTCTCTCAATACTATCAGCCATGTAAATAATTTCCATCCCCATTACTCTCTTTGGCTTTGTCACTCTCCATAATGGGTCCCGTATGCATCTTTACTCATTATTAAGGTTACAATAACTATCCACTGTTTGCAAGAAGTCCAAAGTTTCCCAAACTATATACAGTATTTTGCAAATACAGCTTGTATGTACTTCTTTTCTAAAGGGCAAGTACCTAGTTTTTAATCAGAATTCTCAACCTGGGCTTATTTTTGTCTC